AGAATTTTGTTGTTGCAGACTGCCCATACGCGTAAGCAGGGAGGCAATACGTGTATGAGGGGACATCTCAGGGGCATTACGCGTATGTTACGAGCCATGTCCCCATGGCCAACCCACACGTCTGTTGGTACGTGTAAGGGAGAGCCTAATACGCCTAAATGAGGGGGAATTACAATGAGTATGTGACTCACGTGATCATTGTGGATCGTGTGTTATGAATTAATGGTATTTGTATTTTGCATAGTTGTATGTCATGCATTTTCATGTCACATCATGTGGAGATGAGCCTATGTGGAAATCCATGCTGGATTCCTAGTCTTATTCGGACTCTGTGAAGGAGTTGAGTTGGAGATAAGTTGTAGTTCAGAGGAACGTATATGACTTATCCAGATTCTGACGGGAATCAGGTCCATAGAATGAACTGTATGGATTACGGTGGTACCATATGCATGGTGTAGTGTTAGTTGAGTTACATTGCATATATGTATGACTGAACAAAGGACTGAGCATGATGAATACTATTGTGGCACTTGTACATGCATTATAATTGTCTGATTTGTGTGATTTATGCGATTACTACTCCTTAGCATGTGATTTTCACCGTGTAATTATTGAATGTAATTCTAACCTTTTTTTCTGTTGTTATGTTTGTGCTTCTCAGGGAGTACAGATAATCAGGTACCTGAATAGTGCTTGGAGCGTGTGTTGCTATTGATTGAGTCTTTGTGAACCTTGTGTATTTGGTAAATCCTGTAGAATGAAGTTTAACAAAGGTAAACAAAGAACACATGGATCCCTTGATTACATTCATGTTGATCTTTGGGGACCTGTAAGAAGTCCTTCACACTCAGGTATAAAGTATTTTCTATCCATAGTTGACGATTACTCCAGAAAGTTATGGGTATACATCCAGAATACTAACGATAAAACTTTTGAAAAGTTCAAAAGTTGGAAGACTTTGGTCGAAAACCAAACTGGCAGGAACGTCAAGAGGTTAAGGACCGACTATTGTGCGGCGTATGGTATTTCAAGGCACAAAACTACTACAGTGACTCCCCAACAAAATGGTTTGGCTGAAAGGTTTAATCAAACCATCTTGGAAAGCGTGAGGTGCAAGTTGGTAAGTGCAGGATTGAAGAAGGTGTTTTGGGCAAAAGTTGCTATGACTGTAGCATACTTGTAAATAGGTGTCCCTCGACATCCTTGGGAATGAAGACACCTGAAGAAGTTTGGTTGGGATATCCACCTAGTCTCGACACACAATATTTAGTTATTTAACCTATGCTCATATTAGGAAAGACAAACTTGAACCTAGAGCTCTGAGATGTATGTTCCTTGGATACCCAGAAGCAGTCAAAGCTTATAGGTGTTGGTGCCTAGAGCCAGGTCACAAGAGGTATATCACAAGTCAAGATGTAGCTTTCAATGAAGCTTCAAGAAAACTAATGACATTAGTCGAAGTTCGAAGATCTCTGAAGAAGAGCTAGAACATGAAGAGATTCCTATTGGGGTGGAGCATAGTGATGCTGAAATGCATAACCCTGATAAATTCAAAGAAGAATCTCAAGTTTTTAATGAAGATGAGGAGACTGATAATGACTACCTGCTGACAAGAGACAGGTCAAGAAGAGTCATCAAGCCACCTCAGAGAGTTGGTTATGCAAATCTTATAGCTTACTCCTTAATCTCTGCAAGTGAGGTTCTGGACGAAGAACCTAGAGACTATAACAAAGTTATGAGAAGTCGAGACAATACTGAATGGCTGAAAGCCATGGATGATGAGATGAAATTTCTTCATGATAATAACACTTGGGATCTGATCGAGAAAACTGCAGGGGCTCAGTTAGTCAGCTGTAAGTGGATCTTCAAGGTTAAGGAAGGAATCAAATAATGATGTCGAAGCGTTTTAAGGCAAGGCTAGTTTCTAGGGGGTTCACTAAGAAAGAAGGTGTCGACTTCAATGATGTATTCTCACATGTTCTAAAGCATCGATCCATTAGAATGTTGTTAGCCATGATGGAAAAGTTCGACCTAGAACTTGAACAAATGGATGTGAAGACATCCTTCCTGTATGGTGATCTAGATGTAACAATATTGATGAGACAACCTGAAGGATATGCAGAAAAGGGAAAGGAAAATCATGTGTGCAAGCTGAATAGGTCTTTGTATGGCCTGAAACAATATCCTCGACGATGGAATAAGAGATTCAACAAGTTCATGGCACACATTGGTTTCACTAGGAGCCAGTTCGACCAATGTGTTTACTTCAGATTTTGACCAAGAAATTCACTTGTTATTTTAATGCTTTATGTGAATGACATCCTCATAGCATGTAACAGTGTCGAAGATGTTATAAAGGTGAAGGTTGAACTCGATAAGGAGTTCGACATGAAGGGTATGGAAGTTGCCTCCAGAATTCTTGGGGTTGATATTCGGAGAGATAAAACACAGTCGAGATTATGCTTATCTCAATAGGCATATCTAAAGAAGATTCTCGACAAGTTTGGTATGTCGAAAACAAAGTTTGTTCTAACACCGACTAATCCTAGTACTAAAGTCGAAAGATCCTATATAAATAGAATTTCATATGCTAGTATAGTAGGTTTTTTATATATGTTATGGTTTGTACGAGGTCAGACATAGCATACGAGTGAGCCTTGTAAGCAGGTATATGACCAATCCTAGGAAGGTGCACTGACAAGCATTAAAGTGGATTCTTATATACATAAATAGGTCTTTGATCTGATTCTTGATTTATGGTGGAGCCTGTGGTGATGATAGCAAAGTCAAAATCGAAGGATTTGTCGACTCTGATTATGCAGGTTGTATAGATTCCAGAAAATTTATTTCTTGATATGTGTTCATTGTGTTTGGCATAACAATCAGTTGGAAAACAACACTTTAGAAGTTTGTTGCCTTATCAACCACTGAAATAGAGTATATCGCCCTTACTGAATCTGTGAAAGAAGCATTGTGTCTTGAAGGTTTTTTTAAGGAGATGAAACTTTAAGGCCAAGTTATCACTTTTAAATGTGATAGTCAAAGTGCAGTACATCTATCGAAGAATTCAACCTATCATGAGCGAACCAAGCACATCGATGTTAGGCTGCACTTCGTCAGAGAGATAATTGAGAGTGAAGAAGTCCAAGTGTTGAAGGTTTCGACTGATGACAATGCTGCTGATATGATCACCAAGACTTTGTCATGTAACAAGTTTTTCTACTGTATGAAGTTGATAAAGCTGCACAATGAAAGCTAGTTTGTTCCCTTGTTATAGAGTTTGTTCCAAGATGGATATTTGTGGTATTTAGATCGAACTCTGGTGTTGACAAGGGTAGCTTCATGGTTTGATAGAAGTTGTATATGTTGTATTCGAAGTCTGTTCGAGCATAATGTCGAACTATATTAACATGTAATTTAAGTTAGTATGTCAAATTGGGCTTTACTTCTAAGCCCAATTGTTAAGTTAGCTTGTATCTTAAGTTAGCTTAGTAGTCTATAAATAGACTAGTTCTCTCAGGTTGCTGAGAAAGATTAATTATTGGTATTCAGTTGTAATCTTTTAACCCTTATTGAGTAAGTGAATAGTAAAATAGTTTTAACCAAATCTTCTTCTTCTTCTTCCTTCTTCTCTCCCTTTTGTAAAGCCTAATAGAATTTCTTATGTTTGTTCAAGAAATTCAATCTTTTTCTCATATTTTAATTTGTTCTTGACGACATCAATTCACAAACACACGCGCACGCGTGCGCACATGTTAGAAATGGGCGGCGAAGCTTCTCAATTATGGAATCACATTAAATGCGCATGTTCCCCATTGCATTTCAAAACTGATCTCAAGCAATTCAATCTATTTCCACATTGGACTGTGGCATTGAAGCCGATCAATAATACTTAAGGCTTCCCTTGGCTCCTTCACTGTCTAACAAAAGCCTTGGGGGCAAGTGTTCTAGATCTACCAAAATTCTAATTGATTAAGGCTCAATCCATCTATAGCCTACTCTACTCGACCCAAAATATAAAAATAGTTCACACATTATAAGAAGATACACAATCTTTGATCCCCAACTTCACTTTACTCATCTTGAACCTAGAATTGGCTTCGACGTTGGAGTGATAAACACGCAGGTCCATTCCACGTCACAGTAGAGTAGATCAGAGCCACCGTTTAAAATCAACGGTTATTCATCCCTCATTATTTTTTGTTCATTCATGAAGTTGAAACATCCATTTTTGGTTCCCGAACGGAACACCATGGATGATGTCTCTTGCCTCTTCCATCTCCTCCTTACAGGTAATTTCCTTAAAAAAACAGATAATCTATTGAGATTTTTGAAAAAGAAAACCAATAAATTAACACTGTCGAAATTTTCAAGATTATGAAAAACATGTTGTAATTTCTGGTGTTTTTGAAAATGACGTGTAAAATTTGACGCATAAATGTTTTCGGTAAAAATATATATTAATTTTTGTAAGAATAATTGTTATACACTATTACTGTAAAATATATAGTCAGTACATCACACTCATTCATAAGTAATATTTTATAAGTAATATTTTATATATGATTAAAGAAAAAATCAATTATTTATAAAAATTTAACAATTATAACGGTGTAAAACTTGTTTATACTATCGGTAAATTTCAATTAAATTTATTTTTCTTATTAACCTTTCATATTTTTGGATTGCTTATGCATTTTTAATTGGCTTAATGAACTTTGCATTTTGAAAAAGGTATTAGGAAAAAAATGGGGGTGCGAAGTTATATTTTTTAGGTGTTAAAGGCAAATTCTAAAAAAGAAAAAGAAAAAAACATGCGCAAATTGTTTTCTTTCTCTGTAACGAAAGCACTTGATTGTGCATCTGTTTGTGATTATTCCTTCAATAATGGAATCGATTCCCTCCAACGCTGATTTTCGTTCTTAATGTCAACAACAACACACTTTCAAAATTCAATTAAACTTCAAATCAATTCAAAATTGAGTGGTGTGGTTAACTAAATGGGGTGTGAAAAAACAAAGAGAGTGGTTTTCGTGACGGTAGGAACAACCTGTTTCGACGCTCTCGTGAAAGCTATGGATTCTGAAACTGTTCAAAAAGAGTTACTTGCAAAAGGGTATACCCATCTTCTCATTCAAATGGGTCGTGGATCCTATCTTCCTACCAAGGTTGTAACTACTTTCAACCATTTCCTATTTGTTCTTTTTCTTTGTTTCGCAAGTAAATTGACATGTTGAATTTGTATAGATATTTGATTTTTTCTTTAATCATAGTTAATTAGGGTTTGGAATTATTTTGCCATGGTAACCTTGGGGAGCAATGTAATCAAGTTTATTTCTGTATTACTATGAAACATTGACAAGAACACGGAATAGTCGTCACATCATTAATAATTTGAGAAAATGAAATAATTAAATGTAGTTACATGTGTCAGTAATGGACACTAAGCGCACCTTCAATCGAAGTGTTCGTGGTACTTTTAAGTCTGATGTTTTTACACAACAGATTCTTCTCTTTGTACTGAGTTGGTTTGTGTTAATACTAACTTTTTATTGCAGGCTGAAGGAGAATGTTCATTAGCTGTAGATTACTTCACATTTTCGTCTAGTATCGCCGACCATCTCAGATCTGCTTCTCTTATCATTAGTCATGCAGGTGTGTTTGCAACACCTTGTCTTTTGTATGCTGTTATTCACATTATTATGTGATTATAGAGACATTGTTATCCTTAGTTCTTGGTGGTTTGTACTGTGCTCTTACATCGTGATGGAGGAGCATTAGCTATTGCGAATAACTGTAACTAGTCTGGTTTTATGCAGGGTCGGGTAGCATATTTGAGACGTTGCAGCTTGGCAAACCTTTAGTTGTGGTTGTAAATGAAGATTTGATGGATAATCATCAAAGTGAGCTTGCAGAAGAACTTGCCAACAGAAAACATTTGTGTTGTGCTAGTCCTCAAACACTTCATCAAACCATAGCGGATATGGACTTAAATGCTCTCTGCCCTTACTCTCCAGGCAATGCTACACCAGTGTCCAAACATATAAACAGATTTCTTGGTTTTCCTGATGATTGATCACAAGGTTTTCTCTTACTGCCAATTTCCCATATAAGCATTTGTTTTCCTGATGCGCTTACTCACCGGCTTATTTCAAGTATAGCCTCAATCAAAAACATACATATATCAGTCTCTAAATTTTAGGGTTTCTTAAATTGGCCTCAATTTTAAAAAGGTAATAAATTGACAGCTCTACATAAACTCAGATTGAGATTAAATCTATTGTACTATGTTATGAGTTAATTTTCATGTGCTCCAACATTAGTTTCTCATTTCTCACATCTCAATGTTTGTTTGGTGTGAAATATGTATGTTTTGTTTACTTTTGAAACTTTCAAAAGTGATTCTACAATATAGAATTAATTTTGATAGGGTTGGTTTCTCCAAAATAAAATTAATTTATAATTGATTCTATTTTGAATAAAATTGTGTAGTTTTTAAATTTAAACATGATTTTAACACCGAATGTTATTGTTAAGTTCACGAACTAAACATATATTACTTTAATTTTAACTCATATTTAATATAATCATTTTTATATAATCAATTAATTCAAAATCAATTCTCATTATCGCGATAATCTAATATATGATTAAGCTAGAAGAGTTTTTACTCCTTCCTTGTTTATTACTCTTTGATCTATCTAATATATGATTAAGCTAGAAGAGTTTTTACTCCTTCCTTGTTTATTACTCTTTGATCTCAAAATAATTATTATGTCTGGAAAAATTATACTTCCTAAAATAAAGTTACATTTAATTTCCAATCTAATTTTAATTTTTACTTTTTAATTATTACTTTCAATATATTATTCTCTCAATTTATAGGAATGATAATTAGAACACAATAATAGTTAATAAAAATTATTTTACAAAATCATTATTATTTTTATTTATTTATCACTTTTTTTAATTGGTTAGAGTGTAATAATGAGATTTGTTTTAGGACAGATCAAGATTTGTGTTAGGACAGATCAAGTAACGTTTTTAGTGAATTTAATGTCCACTTTATTGTGTAAATACATCCTCCAAAATGTAAATTAATAGCAATACTAAGGAGGCTTATATTAGAATTTCTAAAATACTGATTCAATTGGCCAAACCAATATTATTAGGTTAGACTCTATTAATCAATTTTAAATATTAAATTTTAAAATTGTGCGATAATTTTTAGAGATTTTTTATTACACTTTATGTTTTATTAGCACACTTTATGGAAATTGTTCTGGAGTGGGCTTGGACCTGCCCATCCGTCAGGCAGGCTCAGCCCAACGCTATTTGGAGAAGACCCAACAAGGCCTAAATTCCCTAGTGTCGGGCACGATTCTAGACACACCGGGCAGGCATCTCCCCCCGTCGAGCAGAACAACACGTCTTCCACACGTTCTCCACATGCTCCACCCGCGGGGACACGTCATCAGGCAACTACCCATCACCGAAAGAGCAGGTCAGTCCACCTTTCAGAGATCACGAGACAGTTGATCTAGGACGAAGACCACGTGCTGGTCTTCACTACGCCACAGAAGCCCTAGCAGTCACTTGGGTTGGGCCTGGCCATCCAGCCCAACGCAAGTGGTCGTTGGCCCTGCACTGGGGTCTCACTATAAATACCTAATTTCACTAGAGGATCAGGTATTCCATTCACTACACCTAATTTATGTATTTGCTCCCACTCTGATCTCTTACCCACTTAAGCATCGGAGTGTCTTGCAGGTACACCCCTCTCCTCCTCCCTACCTCCGGTGAGTAGCTTTCAGATCGACTACGCGTGGCGGTCAGCAATCTCATCTGATCAGGTACGATCGGTGGCCCCGTCTGTGGGGAATCGAGCAGAAGAGTCAAAGCTTCCAACTTCAACTTCTGAGGTCATGACTAGCCCACGCCACGATGATGTTGTCCATATTTCCGCTTTCACCCAAATCACCGACGACGACGACCAAGTTGGGCCATCCCACGCCCGTGAGGGTGACGTGAGGCACGGTCGGACTGCCTCCCTTTCGTCCGAGGGCACGACACATCATGTCGCACCTCGAGCAAGGAGTCCGGCTGTTTTTCAGCCCATTTCTACGCCAGCTGGAGCGGACCCAACGATGAATGCCCTATTCGCAACCATCAACCAAACCAATCTGATGATGTTCCAGCAGAACGAGCGCATCGGGATGCTGGAATAGGATACCTCTTCTCGCTCTCCCCCGCGGAGAAATCAACGCGAGGACTCCCGGAGCCCCTCTCCCCGTCAAAAGGGGCGCCGACCACAGCTGGAGAGGCCCCAACCAGTAGCCTCCAAGAAGCGCGACGGGTCACCTCCCTGGAAGGAGAGGCGTTCCCCGATCCCAAGAGCGAACAGACCGGAAGCCTCGGTCAAGAGGTCGAGGGGACGTAATCAAGCCCCTCGGCACAATCCCTCGCCCTCGCGCTCCCTTGTCCGCAGTGACGAGGATGACTACAGGACCTCCCTATCGCAGGAAATCATGGCAACCCCCATCCCCCACGGGATGGAGAAGCCGATCGCACCCTCCACATACGACGGCACCTCGGACCCGGACGACCATCTAGAAGATATCGAGGTCATGCTCGACTATCGGAACGTCCAAGGGGCCATTAAGTGCAGGCTCTTCCCGACAACGTTAAGGAAGGGAGCCATGGCTTGGTACAAAAACCTAGAGTCTGATTCCATCACGTCGTGGAGGGTCCTGAAGGATCTCTTCTCGCAACATTTCACGGCGTCCCGACGCCATCCGAAGATGGAGGCCGCGCTTGGCGCGATCATCCAAGCCCCGGACGAACCTCTTAGGAACTACATCAAGAGATTCATGAGGGAGGCGGTAGGTGATGACTTCAGACGACATGAAGCATTACCTCATGAAGCAAGGCCTGTGTCGCGGTTCCAAATTCTACGAGGTCGTGGCGATCCACCGACCCACCACCCTGTGTGGCTTCCTCGAGAAAGCCCGCCACTACATCCGGTACGAGGAGACCGAGGCTGCTAATTCGGCCCAGGACTCCCATAACCGCGAAACCCCCCGCGGATCCCGGGAAGAGGGAGCCCCGGCTCCCCGTTGAGGGGGAGATCGACGACGAGACGGTCGTCCCGAGAGAAGAAGGGTCCCGCAAGCCACTTCTTTGAGTACACGACCCTAGTCGCTTCCCGCGAGCGCATCCTGGCTGAGTGCGCCAACTCGGAGTTCGTCCGGGGAGGTGTCCGTTTTCCCAAACCGGCATCCCTAAGGCCAACGTAGACAAGTCCAAATACTACCGCTTCCACCGCGGCCACGAGCATGTCACCGAGGACTGCATCCACCTAAAGGACACCATCGAGATATTCATCAAAGATGGGCACTTGAAGAGATACACCAGGGGAGGGGACACCCCTCGACAGGAGGCCCACGAAGCCAAAAGGGTCGAAGACATCCATCCCCCCTCCAACGAGTCCAGGCTGTAAGTGGCCCTCAGCATCAGTCGGCCTAAAGACTTGTTCTTCCTCAAAGAACACAGTTTCCCTACCGGGCTCCCGCTGCCCGAAGAACCAATGCGCCCCATCAGCCCATGGGAATACTTCCCCACCGCGATGGTCATCTCAGGCGGGGCCTCGAACAAGCTCTCCATCGGGTCCGTGAAGAGGAAGTTTGACGAGCTGATAAGCAACAGCTCCGGCAAAATGAGCACGCTCGACAAATTCTGCCGTCGGTCTAACCCGATCACATATTACCTAGAAGAGCTTCCCGGAGAGGCCCGTAAACCGCCATCCCCCTGCTGATCCGGGCACAAATGGCAAACTTCGACGTCCGTCGTATCCTAGTCGACAGGGGGAGCTCGATGGATATCATGTATACCCACCTATTCTCAACGCTACAGCTCGACGAGACCAACTTTACCCCATATGTCGGCTCCGACCTCCAGGGGTTCAACGGGACGACAACGAGACTGTGGGGATACGTGGAGCTCAAAGTCACCTTCGGGGCACAGGAAACGGTCAGGGAAATCAACGTCTGCTTCCTAGTCATCGAGTGCCCATCCCTGTACAACTTCATCTTAGGCAGGACGACGCCAGCCGAGCTCACCGCGGTGCCATCGACAGTCCACTTAAAGATGAAGTATTATACCAGGCTAGGAGCCGTCGTCACCCTCAACGGGGACATAGAGGCAGCCCGGAGGTGTTTCGAGGCAGCAATGAAAGGCATCAGCACAATCAGTCTTCCTACCAAAGCGACCAAGCCTCCGCCCGTCCAGAGCAGGCCAAAGGACCACGTCGACGCCGTAGACCTCGACTGCCGCTTCCCTGACGAACAGGACCGCGAAGACGAAGCCAAGCACGCTCTTCCAACGGTCAACGGGCAGCCCTTCCACCCAACGCGCCCCATTCCAGACGGGGACTTCGAGATAGTCGTCTTAGGCAACGATGAAGTCAGGAGCGTGAAGATTGAAAGTCTTACAAAATTAGTTATGTTATATGACAAACTCAAATAAGTTAATTCAAACAAATCTTAAATAAAAAATTGATTAATTTCAGGATTCTTTATTTATTAGAGTTATATATTTGATAGTTTTAATTTTTTTTCAACACTTTCAAAATATAAAAACAGTTTAAAATAATTATAATTTTTAAATATGAAGTTGTCTTCATATTTTTTAATATCATTCATATATTTTTTAAATAAATATTAATATTAATTAATTTTGACCTCATTTGTTGAATTTTTTTAGATCCTTCCCTGTATAACGTGGTTGTTAAAGACGAACTACACATATGAAAGCAATTCTGATCACTATTGTGGATAACATCTCAACAAATATCTAAGTGTCTTCATCCAAATCTTGCAACGAAACTACAAAAATCTTGCAACAAAACTACAAAAATCAAGTCTTCATAAAAAACAAATTCATCAACTTCAAGCATATTTAGTGGTATATATTTGAGAATGTTATAGAATGAAAAAATTTAAATTTGACTAATTATGTGATGTTATTTATTTTTATCATTTTAATTATATGTCATATATTTACGGTTAATTTTAATTGTTATAAAATAATTTGATTTATTTATTTATTTATTTTATGATAATATTAATTAAAATAATTTAAATAAATATTTTAAGTTAAAATAAATTTAATATATAATTAAAACAATAAAAATAAATAACACCACATAAAACAATAAAATATTAAAATGAGATAAAATATAAAATCTAATATGAATTCTTTAGAATTATACCATTGTAATTAAAATTACATGATTCTCTTAAAATAAACTAGAGATAAGTAAAATTATTATGTTCACTTCAAAAATCTATTATCTTTTCAAAATACAGTTTCGCAGATAAAAGGGACCTAATATTTTGAAGTTTAGATATATATGACCTACTGACAGGAATCAAAATGTCCCAATACCCTTGTTGATACATCACAAACACTATCAAATGGCTTCAGGGCATACATGTATCCCATAAGTGATGGGATCCAAGGATTAAATCTCCACCCTACCCAAATGATTCATGGTTTTCACCAAGCAAATTCTAGAAGTTCCTTTATGCCAAACATGAATAATGATCGGATGAATAAAACATTTAACATTGGCATATTAGAACCAGCACAGAGTAACGTAATAAATGCTATATTCAACATAACTGCTGTATCCGTGCTTCTTAAACACATGCAAAATAAAGTTTCTGGATCTCCCACCAAAACTTCCTTCTGTCTGATAAGAACCGGTAAGAGACATCAGACTCCACGATTGGGGCAGACGTTAGCAAAATGGGATGGATCTCCACAGGTAAAGCACCTTCTACCAGAAATAGGATCCCCAGTGGCTGTTACAAATGTCCCGCTAGAAGAATTAGATCCACTCCGACCCCTACCACGAGGTCCACGACCACCATTTCGACCACGGGTGGATGTTGGAACATTATTTGAACGTGCAGAGCCTCTTCCTCCAGTGCCATTGTTGATGCTATCCTCCCATCTGTAATAGAGGTTATAAGATTTACATAAGCAAATAGCTATCTCAATAGCAAGCAATATGTTTTGTTCCCCTCTAAAGCTGTTTGAGAGATATTATCCAGCACATAATGAAACATAGTGTCTCTTCAAAAATAAAATTGAAATTAAGACCAGCTTGTGTTATTTATGGATGAAAAGAAATCAAGGTTGGAAGATTATTTATTCTACTTTATATACTCTAGACATCGCCAAGTGTCAATGATGTGATAGTTACAATAATTTTGGCATGGATTAGGATTTCACGTACACAAAGAAGCTGCACTCCTGTGATTGACATGTGTAGAACTTCCTGCCCCTGTTATTTGCTGTATTTGCAGTTCGCAAAACACCTGGTGCTCCACATGAGCTACATGAAACAGGAGATTCTCCTGCATTGTGTAAAGGTTTATTAAAAGATACAATCCCTTAAATTTAGTATTGATATTGACAGCTGGTAAACAATGGCGGAAAAATATATTGACAAGTGATTTGCAAGAAAATCTAAAACTAGTCCAAAAATTAAGATTTCTTTCCTATTTTGGAGAATAATTCAATTCTTATTTTTAAGATCTTCGTAAAAAAAATATACATATGAACACAAATCATAATCTCAACTAATGTAGTTAGTAGCCATGAAGTTTTATAATAAACCATGTCTAATAATAAACTCCCTGGTTGACTCTCACTACTTGCTCATTTCTCAATGTCCACACTAAAATGTCTAAAAGATACATTTCTTATTTCTCTAGGCTGTCTATACTGTTATGGCATTTTTAAATTCCAGAGACCTTACCACTTTGTTGGTTCGTTTCAGGATGTTGGGCATTCCTGGAGCGTCGAGTCTGTGAAGGACAATCATTAGAAGAGTGCCCTGTTTCTTGACAGTGCAAACAAGCTGACTGCCTTGGGTTGGTATGATGGGTGTTGCTGGTTGCTGGAGTAGGATGGGCGTTGTTGGTTGCTGGAGCAGGTCCTCGAGCTCTTGCTGTAAAAAATGATAAGGTATAATTATTGGATTCAGATGCATATCCATGAAACCAATTGGAATGCCAGTAAACAGGTTTAAAATGCATTCTACTCTGTTACTGACTTGTAATTGTGAAATTTCTATAAAAGCTCATTTTATGTTGCGTTAAGAATCGTGGTTTAGGCCTAACTCATCCCTACAAAACCGGTTTGTAGGGTGAGGATAACCCCCACTTATAATAAGCACATGCTCAACCATATATTGTTCGATGTGAAACTCTTAACACACCCTCACGCCCAAGACTAGACATCTGGAGCGTGGAAATAAATTGTGGGTGGCCTGATAGCGGAAACCCGATAACAGATGGTCCATTGGATCTTAAACAAGACTCTTGCTATCATGTTAAGAATTATGGTTGAGGCCTAACTCATCCCTACAAAAACGGCTTGTAGGGTGAGGATAGCCCCCACTTATAAGTACATATTCAGACCATATATTGTCCGACATACTGAATAGCAAAGGTATATTATATATATACTATATAACAGCCTGGTTTTATTTTATTTTTAGAAGCAGCAACTATATAACATCTCAATTGAATCTCCTTGGTACTGACTTTGATAGGTGGGAAGTAAAACCCTATATTGCTGACAATTGTATGTCATGTGCAGCTGTTATCACATAGTTTACACTGAGCCAATACTTCATATGAAACAATATGTACAATCCAAATATATTTTTGTAAATGTTACTAACTATTTAGCCATCTATACAGACCTGGCATGCGAGGGCCAGTGCCACATATTTCTGTCAACTGTGTAAGAATCTCGTCACAGCCACCAATGCAACCTGTTAACACATGTATTTACATAACGTAAGTGCTTCGACTTAAAAGGGTTTCAGTAACTCTCATATCAATGCGAATGAATTGTTGAAGAATCAATATTTCAAAGAATCATTTTTACATATTCTTTTCATTCCAATTGCTCCTTTTCCAGATAGTCAAAAACTAAATTATGGGAAAATTCATTTTTCAAAGCATACAAACTTGCAATGAATGTTGTCACCAGATTGGTATTTAAAAAATGTAAAGGTCCACATATATATTTAAAAAGTTGGGAATGTAATCTCACAAATTAAAAATATCAAGAAAATCCATCCTAAAAAGGACATGCACCTACCCAAATGGTTGACATTGTAGCTTGGTGGTATTTCCAGCTGCCGAAACTTGAATTGAATTAAAAAAACAGGACCTGTAATATTTTCTACAATTAGAGATTAAAATAATATCTAACACAAGATATGGAATAAACATCACTAAAATATATATCAGACCAGTTGGCTTAGACTATTGAGAGAGATATGAGAGGCGTATACTGAAAACAGTGTGTTTCAACTACAGCATGAGCTAAATATTTATATGCCGAATGTAATATATAGAAGTTACAATTTCCCTAGTTACTATATTTACATAGTACGCTGAACTTGGACATTTACATAATAATACAAGCTTCTGACACTCCTCAAGCTGAGTCATAGGTCATATGTGCCAAATATATCATAAACATAGCCTATAGCAATTGATCATTTGAATTGACAAAACTACAGATGATGTGGTAAGTATCCAGGCACATGAGAAACCCTCCCCTAAAAGCTAGTTATCAAGGACGGAGAACCAAACCACTTAAATATTTCATTTAGCATCTCATACTACTAGATGTTGTACATATGCACCCTATAATATTGAAGTCCCTATCATAGAACCGCCCCTGAAAGCTAACGTCCCAACAGCTGCGCTCTACTACACTTCACTCAGCCTTTCCAGTTAGCCCCTTCATATGTAGCCCTTTCTGAGATATACTAATAACCAGCTTTGGCGCCATTAAATATGTATTCAAGCACTTGAGGAACCCTCTCTTAAAAGTTAGCTATCATGGCGAAAGGACCAAGCCACGTGAATATATGTAGAAGATAAAGGAAACTAAATCAGAGAAATATCTCAACCGCTTTAATTACTATTATACACTTCCAATTTGCTTTAATTTGGCTAATTCTTCATAGGAATTTCCATTATTTTCCCCATTAATTTCGACGCTAAGATAAAGGAAACTAAATCAGAGAAATATCTCAACCGCTTTAATTACTATTATACACTTCCAATTTGCTTTAATTTGGCTAATTCTTCATAGGAATTTCCATTATTTTCCCCATTAATTTCGACGCTATTGTCCTCTGTTAAGAAATGTGGTTGGGCCTAACTCATCCCTACAAAACCGGCTTGTAGAGTGAGGTTTGCCTCCACTTATAAGCACGGGTTCAGGTCATATATTGTCTGATGTGGGATTCTCAACACAACCCCTCACGCCCAGGACTGGACATCTTGAGCGCGAAAATAAATGGTGAGTGGCCCGATATAGCAGAAACTTGATAGCAGGTGGTCCGCCGAATCTTAAACCTAGCTCTGATACCATGTTAAAAAATGTGACTGGAACTAACTCATCCCTACAAAACCATGCATTAGCATGCAAACCAGTGATGTATTTTTTCAATAAGAAGCTAATCAAGTATCTTAATACTATCTATTAAGTCACAAACCAGGAGTGCAATTGTTGCAAGTATTGGTGGTCACAACCGCTTCTGATACTGATCCAGGGAGCCAGACAACACTTCTACACTGTTTATGAGAAAGGCAAATTTATTTTAGTGCCAGTAGGTTATAATCAAAAGAAGTGACAGTGAGGGACAACACTTCCAAGATGCATTGGCAATTCCAAGTGTAAAGTTTTTTTATAATAAATAAATTAACAAGAGACGGAAATAAAAAAAGGGTCAAAATACAAAAACCTGAGGATAACCCAAGCATCCAACCATAAATTTGCCATCCTGGTAGATGATAATATAATATTAAACTTAAATAAGATAAAAGATTTAAAACTACAATATCAATATAATTAAGCATGCTCTCTTGCCAATGTACATAATATATAAACACCGCAAAATTCACTTGTAATTCAAGGATAAATTATTTCATACTTCAATCTTATATCAACTAGGTATATCGTGCTCCCCCTATGTTTCATTTCATGTTGTAAACCATAAAATCCAACAACCTAACTTCCACCACTACATTCCTTCTTGTTGACAGTCCAATTGATTAACTACCACATCAAAAGAATCCACAAAAATGACCTAACTTTTTTTGAAATGGCCAACCCTAATATTGTTAGTACTCCCCCCATCCCAAGTTATAAGATCCCTCATATACTTTTTACGCTTATTAAAAAAAAGTTGGTAATAAAATTATTGTGTATGATTATTATTAAATTAACCTAACCATCCAGACAAACCTTAAACCCTCTTTAAACTCTCACCTAGCCATTAAACAAACATTAGAACCCCCTCCCAGACCTCATGAAATACAATTATTTCCACCTAGGAAACCACAACTACCTAAAAACATACTCGGTTTTTTTTTAGCACCATATCTGATTCTTGGCAAAGTCCACACCGCCGAACAACTTCCTCGGTTGTATTTTGATGCTCACTGCCAACTCTATTTGATCTGCAAGAGTGAATGAAGATCCATTAACATTTTATATATCGAAGAATCCATGATGCCAAAGGTGAAGGGATCACTACCTTTCAAAAAATATCGCCATGGCCTCTAAAAGTTTCACTTTATTTAATCTTGCCTGCATACATTCACAAGTGATCATTTATTGAAGTACACATTGTCCATAATCAGGGAAAAAATCATATTGGCCAGATGGCATGGAAAACCTACTTAAATTAATTTTGTATCAATACCTACAAAAATAAGTTTAAGGAGTATTTGACATTTTTATTTTGCTTAATATCCCCTTGATCTAAATGCCAAGACTAGTGGAGAAAAGCCACGGGTCCAAGTCAAATGAGCACACAACCTTCCCAACCAAAAAAAAATTCTAAGGCAGTCATAATAATTGAAAAGGGATCAGATGCATATAATTCATAAAGGTTTGGTACAATACTTATATTGTGAAGACATTCTTCATTGGTGACATATGGCAATTAGATTTATATTGTTTCTTGTTAAGAGGAATGAAATTTATATGCCAAATTTCAAGAAGAAACATAACATAAGAATAGAATATACAAAAGTATAAAGGAGATTGATATATATAAAAGAGAAGAAAAATATCTTGAAGCAGGAAAAAAGTTACAAGATATAATAGAACTTCCTACTACCTTCACATGTCATTAATGAGTTAGAAACCTACCACAATAAACTACAAATGATATAAAATACTAAATAAATAAAGGTTTATCCTCCCAATGCAAAAATACATGCATATTTTTAAATAAGGGTTATAAATTTGACGGCAGAACCAAATCTTGATCGCTAAAACTAATAATTACATAGAAAGAACGAAATAGTAGCATACATCTAAGAAACAAGCTTTCATCTGCTGCAAGCTAGTATCCAGGACTTCACCTTTGCTTTTATTTCCTTCACTGACCAATTTCATGTCGCGTTCCATAACTGCTCTCAAATATGGTTTCCATAGTTTATACCTGAAACCTCACAGATAGAATAATAAAAATGCACAACAAAATTTGTGTTAGGCTCACTCTTTTAATGCAAAACGGGTATCTTAATCAAGTGACTAGGTATATAGATAGGGTACTCGTGTGGAAAAGTGAATATTTAGGTGTAGCCATAGAGGAAAGAAGAAAATGCAAATCACCTATTTTTCATCTGGTTGGTGAAAATTTTCGTATTTTTCATCTCCTCACCAATTCCTACTTTTCTCATTTTACTCTAATCTCCTATTTCTCATCTCCAGCAAAATCGAACCATTTTGGGTGAAACTTGAACTTTGTGTTGTAAACCTAGAATTTGGTTTTTCCCGACTTTGAATGTTTAGTCTTTAGATTATGTGCATTTGTACATATTCACTTCACAAGTTGTTGATCTCGTGTTAATATTTGCATGGTTATAGCATATCAAAGATCATGCCAGGAAGAATAGTAACCATAGACCAAGTCTATTATTGATATACTCTTTAATCTCATTAGGTAATTCATAATGGTTATAGACAAGGTCAACAAGATATTGCAGGATTTGTCTCACTATATGTTCCCACGAGAACGAGGAGCCTCCAATGAGTACCATTAATACTATAGCTTAAGGTTGACGGATCAAATATCCATGCGTGAAATGTGTCGAGTTTAGCAAATATTTCCTTTATAAATTTGAATCATTCTTGTATCTTACAACATGTTACTTAATTTAACCGCCACTAAATAATCCTAGTGTATTTTATCTTTACCAGTCTTGAATTTCCTAATCAAATGTAAGTTGTTTTGATTCTCATGTTAGAACATGTTAAGAGTCCCACATCGGACAATATATGGCATGAACATGTGTTTATAAGTGGGGGCAATCCTCACTCTACCAACCGATTTTGTAGGGTTGAGTTAGGCCCAACCACATTTCTTAACAGAACAAAAAAACACTTTCTTTAAAAAGAGCGTAACGAAAGGATTCTATCTTGTCCCGCATTTTAAAATATAAAGAAAAAATTCCCAAAATCCCCAGTAAATAGATCTCCCTTATATATTGCCCACCCTCCATCTAATTTACTCTTTGAATTTGGTCTTAGATTTTTGGATTGGGGTTAACTCATAATTACAAAATCGAGTTGTAGGGCGAGGAACGTTCTTCTTTATAAACTCTTTTCACACCTAATCTCTTCTTAATGTGGGACTTCAGTTTTTCAAATACATGTTCTCCCTCTCCAGTAATATTGGTTTGGGTGCGTAGATAATTACAAAAGCGACTTGCAGGATGGAGGTCATTCTTATTTATTAACTCGTTTCACACCTTATCTCTTCTTAATGTGGGACTTCAGTTTTCCAAATACACTTCCTCACTCCAGCAATATTGGTTTGGGTGCGTAGAAATATGGTGAGTGGTTCGATGGATAAACTCTAATATCATCTTAGATTTTTGGATAGGACCTAATTCATCCTTACAAAACTGACTTGTAAGTTGAGGGTGTCCTTTTTTATCTTAAAAAACCGTGGCCTTGTATCTTTTACACGAGGAGCTAGAGTTTTTCCAGCATTATCTCAATAAACCCTTATAAGATTGGGGGAATCCTCACTCCTTGAGCTGACTTTTAGAAATGGGTTAGGTTTAAAAATTCTAACAAAGTACATCAAAGTTCCCAATCTAGGATACTCTGATTTTGCAATTCATGATTTTGCAATCCTCATCCCTTGCTACCTTAATTGCAGCCAACCCTAGGTTGCCTTCATTTCAACCAGTCATAGCCTATCCTAGATGAGATGGGCGATGAGATCCTGCATCAACTAGTGTGGTTATTTGTATACAGCCTAGTCAATCTACAAACCTTCGGCTAGCTTTTGGTGGTGGGTTGAGGTCGTATAAGATCCTTCGTCCATTTCTTCACAATGTTTGTCAAGTTTGTTCATTTCTTCACGGTATTTTGTTAAGAAACTGTATGGTAGTCTAACAGAATCTGACATGTTATATTTTCATTGGAGAACAATACTAGCTGCAGGTAGGGTACTATATATAAGTTTCGTCATTTTAGATAAAGGGCTCATTCATCTTGAGTATAACACGAAAAGTTTATCCAAAATGGATCCTTGTCTAAATATTTCTACCCCATCCTAGGTCATATCCAATATTCAAAACAGTCACATTTTATATACATGATTGAAACAACACGAGTGAAGGAATTTCAAGAAATAATTGTTTTCATTTTAGGAATAATAAACAAAAACAACCCAAACGTGTACTTGTTGGTGAACTATATACCAATTTCTGAAAACCATTAACTAATGCAATCATTATGAGGACGAGCGAAATCTTGAAAATCTCTATCGTTGAGAATGGTTAATTGTTCATTTGTTCCTAAACTAGAAATACATCTACCAAGAACTCTTCGTTCTAATATTTCCAAAATTCAATTCCACCTAATAAATTGCAGTTTTTATCATGAAAAGTTTACAAAATCAAGACATCCCCTTGAGTGAGACAAGTGACATTTTTAAAATAAAGGGAATTACTTACCCCATGTCATCATATCCCATAACAAGTGCCTCACCCTACAGTAATATCAAATCCATGATCAGTAAAAAGAATACAAGTTATGAAAAATACTGTACTTCATTATTTTGAATGGACTGCAAACTAACTAACTTCTTATTGCAGCACAATTACATCTTTGAGAATAAAATACACTAAAGCTACACAATTAACAAAAAAGATTCTTCCAGCATTAACATGAAGAAAAACTTTGCACCAGTAAAACTTATATAATTCAAAACATATCTGCAAATAAATAACCATGATCATGTCATTCTATTTTGCATATCTATAGAAAATAAAATGACAAGGATTTATAGCATACAAGATAACCAATGCCCGTGTACCATGTTTTAGGGGAATTATTTTTATGCAGATATCTGGTCTGTGATAGGCATTCACTTTGCTTATGTAACCTAAACCATATGGTTGACAACTTAATGTATGCATTCAGTTACTGTTGGAAATTCCGCCTTCATTGTGATCCGCCCCTAGTCGCCTAATTGTGGCATTTGGTTTGCCTTCATTGCAACTTCCAACACCTTCATTAGTTGGGTTTGAAGGGTGGATTTAGTCTCACGTTGCTTAAAGATATGTCATGTGTAGCGTTTATAAAGTTTGGGCAACCCTCACCTTACAAGTCAATTTTGTAGAGTTGAGTTACGCGCCTAATCCATAATTCTAAGATGGTATCTCACTGTCTCAACCTATCCTAGATATGCTCTTGGGCTTACCGCAACGTTCCCGTTTTGGGCTAGTTGAGGCCTGAGCGTGAGGGGGTGTTTTGAAAATTCGGCCTTCATTGTGATCTGCCCCTAGTCACTCAATTGTGACATTTTTCTTGCATTCATTGCAACCCCCAACACCTACATTGTATTGAGTTTAAAGAAGCGGATTTAGTCTCACATTGCATAGAGATATGGCATGTGTAGTGTTTATAAAGCTTGGGCAACCCTCACCTTACAAACTGGTTTTGTAGGGTTAAGTTAGGCTCGATCTATGTAGCACCAACACCTCTGTAAAAAGGTGCGTTTGTGTCAATGTCGGTGGCAGACACCTACACCAACACTTGTTATTACGTTTAATTTATTCATTTTTTCAAATTATTACTGGTGTCGTCGTGTCAGTGCCGTGGTCGTGTTCGAGGTGTCTGTGCTTCATAGGGCCCAATCCATAAATCTTAGAGTTACTATCACAAACTTGTAAAATAATGCTCCAACAGTGAACATAGTATCACTTTTATTAGAGAGAATTAATCACATAATGGTTCATTAATTACTTTCTATATCCTCTACTAACCTTACACGCTAACTTGTCATAACAGCAGTAAAACAAGTCAACAATCCATGAAAAATGGCATGAAGATTGAAAATCACTGACAGAATAAAAAAAATTCCTTCCAAAATCAAAAATATGAGCTTACCAAACTAGTTGGTGTGAACCGCATGCTAGCATCCTTAGTTGCATAAAAACGTTCAAGCAACTTCTTGATGTGATCATGCATTGTAGCATCCGTACCAATGCCCTCCTATACAATTGTCAAATTTTAAAGAAACATATTTTGACTTACGGGCAGGAAATGATGATACTGCTAATTATATGATTAAGTCTGTAAGATTCAATATCATTCTTGCCTTGTCCATACAACTCAGCAAATCTGCTTCACTAAGAAGAGGAGGTGGTCTGGTTATTCCTGGATCAAGGGTCAATGTTGTTGGAATGAACTGCAATATCAACAGCTCTGTTATTAATACTTATTTTTTACTGAGATGCAATTTGTATACAGTGCATTCAAAACCCATGGATTATATCAAAAATATATAGAAAAAGGATCTAAAAAATTTTGTTGAGAAATTGGACTTAGTGATGCAAATTAGAATGTCGTTATGCAAATTGATAATAGTCATTTATCTGGTAACCATTTAAATAAACAAGAAAATGTGGTTTGATTTTTAAAACCAAAGAGATCCTTGAGTTAAATTGATGAAAAAGAAGGTAAAAGTATAAATAAAAATTAAGTAAAATATACATAAGCTTTCTTAAATTTAATTGGCACTTTAACATGGACACTTAGGCTAACTACTTGCAACATGTATGTATGGATCATTTTATCTTCATTTACTCGTGAAGATAAAATTTGTCAAGCATCTAAATCTTCAGCATCGAATAGGCACTAAATGCTACAGTGAAGCTCGCATAAGATTAACAGCAAGTATGATACTTTTTGTAAACCAAGGATGCTGGGATTTGTTTGGTGTAGAATTCAATCAAGAATCTGACATTAAGGATAGTGAACAGCTTGCGATGGAAAACAATAACTAGATATCATATGAAAAAGAAAAATAATAAAACAATCAAACAAAAATCAAGGGGTGTTGCATATAATCTGATGTAATAATTAAAGACAAACCTGTTGGTCAATAATATATGTTGGAATCATTGATCCACCCCATGATTCAAAGCGATAGACATCCAAGTAGTTTTTCTGTTCAAATTAAAACCAGCCAATACCAAATAATCAGAACATTTGTAGCAACACATTTATTGGAATTTGGTTTAAAAAAAGCAGCAAGAAAATGCATATATTCACACTTCTATGTGAAATTTAGTTATTCCCAAAAGAAACTCAATGATATATCATAATTATATAGTTTCAGTATTCGTAAAGTGGCTGATGGTTTGATAGTAGCTATGACAAAAAAAATTATGGGCTTCAATAGTACAGAACAATGGAGGCAGCAAGAATAAGTGGTCCTTTTTACTATAGAAATCAAACTTTTGAATGATTGAAAAGTAGTTATTAGAGTATATTAGAATTAATATACTCTTGATGAGTTAGTTAAGTGTTTGTTAGACTTTAATAAACTCTATGCTGAGCTGTCAAATATAACAAACTTAGTGTATCAATATTTCTATAAATACTGATTGATGTAACTATATTAACTCAATTCAGTTACATTGAATATAACTGATTCAATCATTTCTCTCAATTATGCCTCTTTTATCTTTTCCTAATAGTAGTGTGGCAGAAAATGAATAGCCAAACCAAGTTTCAAAGAGATGAGCTGAAAAAATTAAAATCATAATGGTTAGTCCATTGTAGCTATAAGGAATAAAGAAATCTTCTCAATTTTGCTTTGACTGCATAATGTCGTTGATTGGACTGCAATTCATTCTCTTACGTTTTTAGGAGAAAAGAATTTTTTATTGTTATTAATTTGACAATTTACATTTAGGCAACGAAAGTTTGACCCCAAAAAGAAAAGGGTGCGAAGATAGAGATAGTTTTTGATAAAAGGGCAATGAAATTCAATCATAAGATAATCATATTTTATATTTATAAAACAAAGCAATAGGTTCTTCCATAGAGAAAGATGAGAAACAGAAAGAAAAATAAAATAATGCTTTCAATGTTTACTGCAGTATTATTAAAAAAAAGAACCTAAAGAAAAATTTCTTCAAGAGTTTTCCCTTGATTACAAATTTGAAAATTTCTGAATGTCTACTTTCAACTATTTCACTATATCTTCTTAAAAAACAATTTCACTGTATCTAGTTGAGATCCCTCAACTAACCAACTACCCTAACTTTTTGATTCCTCTTTTTTCTACCCTTCTACTCTTATATAAATGCAACATATTTATTGGGACTTCATATATTGGAGGAAGAAAAAAACACTTCATCTCAACAAGAAATCCACATAGGAGCACCTGAATGCTATCTATTCTCTAATAATGGCAGCAGGAAAATGGGGAACAGGGCAAGTATTTGCTTTTTAAGAAATTAATCCCTCCGTTTTTTTATAAGTCGCTTTGGGATAAAAATTTGTACTACAATATAAATCGTTTTATAATACCAATGAATCATTAATGTTATTTTTCCTATTATACTCTTAAATATTTATTATTCTCTCTCTTTTAAATTATGTGAATTTGTCTTCTCAATACCATTAATGAAGGACAATTTTGTAAAATCCTTCATAATTTTTCTTTTTCATACAACAATTAGTACATGTTTTAATGCATGTGAAAAGTCAAAAACGACTTATAATAAAAAACGGAGGGAGTAATAAATTATGGTTTATCTTATGGCATCCTAATCTCATATATAAGCTCCAAAATTTTAGTCTGCAATAACTAAAAATTGTTTGGTTTCAAAGCGCAAAAAAATGTTAATACACCGCAAAAACTCTTGTCTAAAGCATGTTTATGAAATCAATAAATCACCAAGTCAAATCACATAAATTCTAGAAGCGGAATATATACATAACATGACTGAGAAATCTCACCTCTAGAATTACCCTCCCACATGCAGAAAACAGTTCACCAGCAATATCAATTTCCACTGTGGTTTCAGCTCCTACAGCCGGCTTTGAGACACATGCCAGATAGTGGCGAACAACCAACTCATATATATTCTGTTGTCATTTGAGAAACAACAAGAATATGAATGTCCAGTAAAATGAAGGATTTAAGAGTAAAAAAATGGTAGGCATAAGCAATTGTCTGACACGGTGGTTTTGGCTCCATCCTGATTCTCCAGCAGAAAATTTAGTCGGGTGAATCGGTGGATGGGCCTTGTCGTCGTGTCCACCACCTCTAGGATTTCTCCAAAGTCCAGTCTCAGGGTTTAACAACCGTTGAGCGTATATTCCCCATTCAGGATGTCCTTGTTGTTCTTGCACAATTGCCTACAATTAAACGATATAAAAATACAACGAGGAACAAAGGTCAGACACTTCAGAAAAAATAAATAGATTACTAAGTATTAAAATAGAATTCCTCAATACTGGTTGTTATTTTAGATTACTTTCAAGAATATTCTGCCATGTGGCAGCTTGTGATAGGATCTGTTACAACTGCTCAAGCAGTTAGTTATAGGGGTGTAGTTTAACCCTTTTGATTGATGTAGGATAACCAAGGATATAAATGTCCTTGTAATAAGTTTTACATATAACAGATAATATAATTCTACTTTTCAGTGAGATGAAATCACATCTCATTTTGTTATGGTACTATAGAGCTTAGGTTACAATCATGGTGAGTTCATGGAGAATGCAGAGAAATTAGATGAAAAGAAATGTCAAGTGTGGCATCAACAAAGCTGAACCGGTTGTGAACGCTCACTATCTTATGGTTTCTTGTATTTTGCTGAACTTTCAGATCAGTACATTATTGATATGTTACGAATTCCGTTGTGGAAAATCATGTGTATCATACATGGCTTCAACAAGATCATAGTTGCTTTCGTGGCTTCGATCAACAATCAAGAATGCAATTATGACTTGAATTCTTGGATGCTGGCATGCTTCACAACTTTGGGAGCATATTCATGATCATTTTCAGAAACACATGAGTGTGTGTGTTCGACAACGTCGACCTGGGATGCAGGCAACAACGCTTGATGATCATATTGTTGAGGATTATATTTCTTCATATCAAACTTCTTGTCCTGTAATTGAGAGCAAGTTTGGAGACATCCAATTAGAAGAATTTGAGGCACTCCTTATTCCACATGGGATGTGTATGTCAAAGTACAACAAGAAAATCCAACTTTGACTCTGCTTCAATCAACTCACGCAGGCCAAGAGCTCTTTTGATTCGTCCTCCTCGCCTCAAAATCAAAACTCATCTTCTCAAGCTAACCTCACAATTGATTATACCTCAATTGAGAATGGATTTGGATCTTAGAATCCTAACTTTGGTGGTGGTCGTGAACGTGGCAGGGGACGATTTGTCAATATTCAATGTCAAGTTTGTTTTTGCTTTAGTCACATAGCTTCTATGTGTTATCATTGTTTCAATGATTGGTAACAGGGTCCAATTTCTCATGATTTTTAGGGATATTTACAAGGTTTCTTAGGTTTTCCTTCTCAAGAAGGAGCTCCACCTTATGGTTTTGCCAACCCTTGGATTTGTCCTCCAATTCAACCTAATACCAGACCTAGTTCAATCCTTAACCTAAGGCAATGTAAACCAACACTATTCCAGCAACCAATGTTGCTTGCCCTAATTCTGAGCCTCTTTTCATGTCACCAACATTAACCAAAACATTCAACATTAGGTTCCCTTTGAAGGTCCTGGCCAAATCTTCATAGGAAATGGACAAGGTTTGAAATTTTCCACCTGGTCTTTCTCATTTTAAATCTCCTATTCAACCTAATTCCTTTGTATTACAAAACCTTCGTCGTGTTCCTTCTACAATCAAAAACTTAATAAATGTAAGTAAGTTCGCAAAAGACAATAGTGTTTTCTGAGTTTCTTCCTAATTATCCTGTGGTCAAATCTCAGGCCACCAATGAAGTTCTACTCCATGGCAGTGTCCTGATGGTATCTATGAGTTTCCTCACCACAATTTCCAATTCAATGCATCGTGTTTGGTCAGTAGTTCCACCCCTACTATAGGCACTAGTAATGAATCCCCAAATGTAACAAAATCCCCTTGTACTAGTGCTCAATACAATTGGCATCTAAGATTAGGGCATCTCAACCCCCGTACCTTGAAAGTTGTTTTTGACCTATGTAATATGCCATTTCTTAATAAAAACTCTTCCACGTTTTGTTTGGCTTGTTGTATGGGTAAAGCTCACATATTACACTATTCCCGTTCACTCATACAATACATGACACCTTTAGAATTGATATATAGTGATTTATGGGGTCCTGCTCCTTTTGTTTCCGCTAATCAACTCAAATATTATATAACATTTATTGATGCCATCACTAAATTCACATGGATTTATCACCTTAAAATAAGTTTGATTCTCTCCAAATTTTTAAACAATTTAAAAGCATGCATGAACTACAGTTTGGTTACAAAATCAAGTCAATTCAAACAGACAGTGAAGGGAGGGAGAGTTCATACCCTTCTCCAAGTTCTTATCTAAACCTAGGGATTATTCATAGACTCACTTGTCCTAACACTCATCACCAAAATGGTATAGTTAAGCGCAAACACAGACACATTGTGTATTTGGGATTAACCCTATGGTATCTACCACCAGGCTCACCAAGATACATTCACCAACTTTCTTAGTTTGTGCTCTTTATAGGTCAGTGGTTAGTGTTATTCAATATGCCACAATCACTAGACCTGAGCTTAGTTGTGCAGTCGATGAAGTCGGTTAATTCAAGACTCATCCACTAGGTATTCGATGAAGTGGGGTAATTCAAGACTCACTCACTAGGTATTCACTGGCTTGCAATTAAGATAGTCATAAGAATTTAGTTGGCACTCGGGATCTTGGGCACTGCTTAATATTGCCCCTCAGAATCTCTCATTTTCCCTTCATGCCTACTCTGATGCAAGCTACGTTACTGACCCATATGATTGCTGCTCTACCTCAGGTGCAGCCGTCTTTATGGACCGTAATCTCCTCTATTGGTGATCAAAGAAGCAAATTATGGTTGTTCATTCAAGTGCAGAAAGTATTAAAGGCTTTCCCAAGTAGCTGCAGAGGTCCTTTGGCTCACAACCTTGCTCACTGAGCTCAGGGTTCCCTTTCAACCACTCACAATCTACTGTGATAACCAAAGCCCAGTTGCTATGGCACACAATCCTGTATTGCAAGCTAGAACCAATCATATAGAAATTGATTTCTTTTTTGTCAAAGAAAGGTTATGAAAAAACAGTCAAATGTGCTTCACATTCCAGGAGTTGATCAAAAGCCAGACATATTCACCAAACCCTTTACTTCCACAAGATTTTTGGAATTCAGGGACAAGATCAATATAGTTGCTCTAGCTTTGGCTTAATATCCACATCAGAGAAGTCAATAGCAGTCTGGAGCGCCGCTATCGCGGCAATAAGGGGCGGAGCGGAGGGTGTCCGCGGTGGGAAGGCGTGTAGCGGCGGAGAATAGATTCATGGCCGCTTCTAGGGTTTTTGCAGGTCGTAGAAACGGGCGGGTCGCGGCCTGAAGCGGTTTAGGGCCAATTTCTTTTTTTCACTTAAAAAGTCAAAATTACCCATTAAAATTAAAACATTTTAAGGGTAATTTGGGGGTTTTGTTTTCAGTTTTAGTGGTAAAGTTGTTTAGCCTAACTGTCCTTCCTCTTCCATCTGTTGTGCCACTTCAAGCATGTTTCTTTTGCAGTTATTCATCCTTCTTCCACCTTCATCATCCCTCTCCTATCATCTTTCTTTTTCTTTATTCTTTAAGGCATTTCTTTTTCCCTTCTCTATTTTTTATTTGTTTTTTTCCTTATTTCTTTTCCTTCTTTCTTTACCTCTGTTTTTTTAATTCATTCTTCTTTGTTTACTTTGCCTCAATCATTTGTCAATCTTAATCCTATTTTTTATTATGTTTTTTACTCTTTCCCCTCTGTTTTTATTGTCTCTTTTGAGTGTTTTTTATTAAGTTTCGTGTTTTGATTTATGAATGTCGTATGGATTGAGTTATTTGCTTAATTTTAAAGTAAATGTATGTTTATGCTTATAATATTATTCATGTAAATTTGTCCAAAATGTTACTAAAATTGGTTATCCCGCTATACCCAATACTATTTTTGGGGCCGGCCACTCCGCTCAATTATCCGGGATTGACTACTCGGATCCATACTGATCCTGTGAGGGGTATTAGAATAGAACTGCTTACTACTAGCTGTTATTCTTTCTAACTTCCATTCTATAATGCTCTGCCATGTGATAACTTGTGATAAGAGCAGTTACATCTGCTCAAACCGTAGGTTACAAGGGTATAGGTTAACCACCTTTGATTGGTGTAAGATAATAATGGATATAGGTATCCTTGTAATCGGCTGTACATATAATATAAAATGTAGTTCTATTTTTCAATGAGATGAAATCACATCTCATTCTGTTAATAAGAGTGAACCAACAATATTGTTAATACAAACTACAGTACAAGCCAAATAACGCATGTGAAATGTCGTAATTTAGAAGTGACTTCAAAAGACAGATTATCCTAACTTAGGATAATCTGTCTTTTGAAGCCACTCCTAGCTTATTTAAAATCACACATTCTATGAGTGTATGTTACAAAGTATTAAAATCATGACAAAGTGAACTCATGTGAAATATTTTCTAATGATATATTATTTAATTCAATCTTATCCAACCCACTCTTTATGTATCTACAAGTAGTCATATACTCATACTGTATTCTGATGAATTTCAAGCAACATGTAAAGAGTTAAACACAACATATTTCACTGTTTTCCACCTTAATCATGACATAGAGAACTCCTCTTCAAAGTCATTGTTAAAATTATTGTAAATAGGGTAATTGTTGTAATTAGGCATTTGTTTATTAATTAATTATATAAAGTACTCTAAATGGTGTAATTGAGACATGCAGATTCACTCAAATTAATTTTCAATTTCATTATTTCAACAACCATAATTTGTTTAATACATTTTATTTTATTTGTAGCATATAACACAGACAAACAGTTCCAAAAATTCATGTCACACAGCATGTTCTCCAAATCTATCTAGAATGGCTAACTAGTAACTGGAATAATAATTTGTGCTTGGAAAAGAAGTTACCCACATGCAAATCAGTCCTTGAAGAAAAATTATCAGTTTCAGTACGAGGATAACTGATGAAACCACCTTGATAAAGTTCTTCTGCCACCTATAAAGAATTAAATAAGGAAAAAAGAAAGATATGTATATAAAAACATGTTGTGTAGTTTAATGTGTTTGTTTGTCACTAATTGTAAGCATGTTAGTTGTGTAGCTTATTGTGTTTGTTCACCACATTATGGCAAATAGAGATAAAGGTAAACAGAAAACAATTGTCCAATGAATAAATACAATGGCATAAAAGCAATTAGAAAATTTGGTGAACAAAATGCACCTCTTGCATGGTACATATGCATGCAAACATAGTTACGGATTCATTTAGTCATATGTTTTTTTGGAATTTTCCTTTGGCATCATCTACAAATGCATTACTTAAGTTTATATATTCAAAATTGCAAAGTTAGTCTACTTTGAACAACATAAATCATCCAGAATGATTTGTAGACTTAAATGCGCATTACTTATAAGTACAACACGAACAATGAAATAAATGGATTCTCAACAATTACTAGCCTTCATTGTGTGCTCAGAGCTCATCCGAAAGTATCGTGAAGCCCGTTTCTCAAGCTCAATAGTACTCAGAGGATGGGGAGGATACTTAAGCTTCTCTTGTTGTCTAACGTTTGTCACCTAAATAGTAATAAATGTATCATTAGTAAGTTAAGTTCAGTATATGTCAAGCCAAAAAATTTAGGGAAGAGTTACCGTTGCAGTTGGTTCTTCGATGCACATCTCATATATTATGACAGCACATGTATAATCAAACAAATGCCCGCGTCTGCCAAGTGAATCCAGATTATAAGTAGTTAGTAAAACGCAACAAGAACTACGAATGTACCAAAAGCTTTGCATACTACCCCCAACTAAAATTAGCAGTTCCTTCATCTGATCTGTGAGAGCAATTGATTTGCCAAAACTCTTCTGGTTCATGTGCTTGTATCTCCCAATATCTTTCCACAACAAATCCAAGCGTAGGAAACTATAGTAAAAATGAAGGTAAAATGGAAACTCATAATAAGCCCGTACCAGTTTAAGCACAAAAACTACACAATGTTACCATATTGTCAACATAAGCCCACCTGGCAAGGGCCATAACTCAAGACAGTATTTCTGCCATCTGTAACAGTATCTATGTTAAAAGCATCTTTCATTAACATGGTCTGAAATCTGGTGAATGAAGCGCCTATACGAAGATCAATTTCCTAAAACAACAATAAAATTAACCACCCTCATAAAGTGACTATCAATTACCATATTTTGGTTATTAATATAAGTAAAGTAATAGAATAGAAGCCAATAATCAGATTCGTGTTTCGATTGGAACACAAAACCACATAGTCAGAAACAACTCACCTGCCTAGCATCCACAGCATCAGCAAACCACTTATTTGGCTCAACAAGATTTTGCACGGCCTGACAGATTTCGCTGCATCAAAGCAGCAACAATCAAACATTATGAAACATCAAAGATACCAGACATAAAACTGACGCAGACATTGACCTGTAGACGATGATAATAATTTAAGAAAATCAAAGTTATTAAACTAATGTGTTACACATGTTGGACAATACAATATGAAATGTATGCCGCAAGCACTTTAATAAAAATAAAAAATCAACTAGAACCATCGTGAAACAGCATCAAACCTGGCTATCAATGCAGAAAATCGAGCCCTCTTGATAGTGAGATGAGGATTTACTGCAGTACATACGTCTACAACTTCAAACGCAATATTCTCACCTTCCCTATCGCAATCGAGCCACAAAACAAGCCACTGACACCGTCTAGCTTCTTCCTCCAATGTCCTCTTGATATCCTTTTTGTCCTAGGGTTAACAACATAAAGCAGAATTGCACTGAGAATCAGCAATGCCGAAGAGCGAGTAACAATTGAGATAATGAAGAATAACAAGGCAGAAAATAATTGACCTCGGGAACCGATTTATGCACAGGAGCCTGGAAGAGATCGGCGGGATCGCAAGAGTGCCATTTGCGGTAACGCGCATCGAATTCGAGCTCCATGAGATGGCCAATGACGGAGGTGAAGAGCATTTTACAGGGCTGGTCGCGAATGGTGTAGTCGAACTCGAAGATCTTGTTGTAACGAGAACGACCGTCTCTCCCTCGAATGCCTGGGTTCCTTGAAAGTATTTGGGCGACCGCTTTCGCTACCGACGGCTTCTCCGCCACGTTAAGGACGGTGACGCTGCGGCCAGCCATTGGTTACTGAAACCCGCCGCCGATTCTGTGGGGTATTGATTTTCCCGCCGAAATGTGCGAGTGTATCTGACTGTCAGCCGCGGCGTTCGGAAGTGGAGTGACTACCCCAATTTTTTTTGAAAATTCAATGAACGGATTAAAATAAGTGGGGGGAAATAAAATAAGGTCAAATTGTTATTAGTGGGAAACTGGGAATAAAACAAAATTTGAGTTTTTTGTAAATTATAGGGTTAATGTTTATTTTTTTGTACTTTAAAGTTGTAACGACGCAATTTTATAATTATATTTTAAAATATAATTAAAGTTTTAATTAGTAAATATAATTAGAAAGTAATAGAAAATAGAAATTTCATTTGTTTAATATTTTTCTCTCTTCTAAAAAACAAATAAAAAAGAAAATTTAATAGACATGAAAAAATGATTCAGGCTACGATATTTATGATATTTTTAGGCATCGTGATTTTTTTTAAACTTTTTAAAAATGAGTTCATGTGATTCAATTTGATTTAGTTGCTATACAACTTTATTATTGAAAATGAGTTAAGTAGTAATAACTTTCTAGTATAGCCATTGACCTTTTTACCTTGTGACCTTGATTTGATACATGGATTTCGTCCTCTAAAGCAATTAGAACTATCACATTGTTTATAATTGAAAATAAAATCATAGAGCTTTAATATTTGTGAGCAAGATCTATGAATCTCAACCAAAAACATAACACGTTTGCAAGTGTGTGTCTATGTCGCGTAGTAAAATAAGATCGATTCCACAAAAACTTGGTGATTGCTTATGGTGATTAAATGAATTAATAAAATGATTTGTTTGTTTGGATTGTCGAAACAACAATTATAAAATCTTGGAATAATGGTTTCTTACAATGATATATCATATAATACAATTATATTTTCATTATTATGCATATTCATTAGTTAAAGAATGAAATGCATATACTCTTTTAGTGTCATTCGACTATAACTACTCTCACTTTTGTGTATAACCAAAGATCCACCAAACACATGTTTCCTCTTTTATTTTAAAAATGAATCTCACAAAGACATCGTGTCTAGTCTTATAGAAACATGCATGGTTGCTTAAAGTATGCATCAGATATGAAGCACACATTTTTTAAATATCTTTTCAAACTTTGTTGCTTTCTAAAACTTTAGAAAAAACTATTTGGAAAAGGCAACATGTTGTTTTTACCAAAAAAATTATTAATTAAGACTCTTAGATGATCGATTACTCAAAAAATTATTAATTAAGACTCTTAGATGATCGATTATAAAAGGCATTCGGTTTCTAATCGATTATGCTACTGGTATAATGATTATGAGGCGTGTTTTCACTTAGTAGTCGTTTACAATTGAAGTCAAATCAAATATGGTTTGGTTTGTGCAAAAAAAATTTTATTTCCAAATACATCATTAATTATAGTCGTGCCATAAAAAATTATGGATCAATTTTAGGCATTTTCAAAGTTTTCTTTTTTCTATTTTTTTTATATGGAGGAAAAAAAATATTTTTCTTCTGCTATCCAATTGCTCTTATATTTTTTCACATAAACTTTATATATTTTTAGTGTTGAGGAAGTAACTATTATATAGTAAACTAATGTAGCCGCTACAAAAAAAAAATTATCTACATTGCAAAATAGAGTGCAAAATGGTGAACTTCTAACGCATAGACTAATGCATAATGAGTTATCGCCTCGAAGCAAAACCTCTAAGATAAAGAGATTTTGAGCAAGCATGTAAGAAGATGTAAAAAAAATATAGAAAACACAAATGAATGATAATAATTCATATTTATAAATAAAATTGAGCAGTGAAAACCAATCATAAAAATGTCTCATAGACTAGGAAAAAATAGTATGATCCTCCTAGGTCGACAACACCAACTCATAACGACTTTCTAAATGAATAATGGGAGTCAATTTTATGTAAATCAAATATATATGTAATAAAATACATATGTAGTTACCTAACTTTCTTATACTAACCAATTCCCAAAGAACATAAAGATAAACATCTGGCAACTTCTTCAAACCAATTTTGGGAGGTTATTTTTCGTCTAAATCACAAGGTCTGACTAGTTATGATTCAGTCCACTGTAGAGGGTTGTAAAAACATCAACGCCTCGAGATTCTAGGGGCAATTAAATCAGATAATCATCAAATGATGGGGTCATTTTCGTGTCGTTAAGTCGAGGATGTCACCTCTTACTTTTAACCAACAAGATAATTCCAAAAATGTGAAACATGGAGTGGACCTTTCATATAACGACATATGGCCAAACCAAATGATTGGAATAAAATAGTTAGATCATATAGCCAATGTTTGTATGGCTTATGTTCCTCGTTTGAGAGCTGCCCAAGGTGGAAGGGTTTAGGTTCATGAAACCATATAACCTTGTTATTAAAGGCCATGAAAAATATTGCACCAATGTACACATTTATAACCTAAAAGTATGGCCAAGTGATTTAATATATATGAATGATACAATATATGGGGGATAAGGAATTAAAATCAAACTTGTAAGGTATAATTAAGGTAAACAAACTTAATGCATCAAATTGAACAATTTAGAAAATTAAAGTTTTTTATGAAAAAATATTTTTTATAAGTTTTTTTGTGCATTATCACTTTTTAAAGATTTTTTCTGCATATTTAAATACCTCTCATTTTTCTAATAAATATGAGCATTTGAATTTCCATAATCGAACATGTATTGAAGAAATAACATAAAAAACAAGTTTGCATATGAAATTTTGGATCAAATTGTTGCAAGTTAGAATCAAGTCCCGCATTTTTCTACGAAAAACAACAACTAAAACCACAAAAATTTACTCAGAAATAAAGCAGATAATCATCAAATTAAACTTTTCCATGCGTGATACAACACTTATAGTTAGGGGTGTTCAAATACAATAGATCCAAATAAAAACTGCAAACTTATTCAAAAAACCGAAAAACACAATAACAAAAAATGAATATTATTAGATGTATTTGGATACCATAGTGGCGGGATGAGCTAAATTTTTATGTCTATTTTCACTTGGCGGGTTTTTTTTTTGCGGGCTTAAGGCAGGGCAGGGCGGCGGCCCGTTTTGCCACCTCTACCAAAAATCGATCCAAAATAAATGGCATAAAATTGGATTGGATCAAATTGAATTTTGTAATCAATCATCCAAAACTGAATCGAAACACGAATAAATTCATCTTTGGATCGAATGAGTTTTCACCTCAAAATCGATTCAAATTGCACCGCAAATACCCCTACTCATAATCAACTAGAAACATATTATTTCACAACGACTTAGATCAATGTGCAATAATAAACCTAAACTTTCAATTTTATTAAGAATACAAAACACTTAAAATAAAAAATTAATGACAAATATTATCACTTAGTGACAAGCTCTATATACCATATGATATGAGAAAAAATGCTTCCATATATAATGAATATCTAACCAAGTGAGTTATTTCAATAAGTGACGTAAAAAAGGGGGGAAATAACAAAAATATGAATGGTTTTAGGAAGATAGAGAAGGAGGACACATTAATTACATAGATTTATAAGTCAGAAGGAACTGTCGCGATGTTAAGAAAGTCATTGATAAGATCCAATTAGATTTTTAATCTAATAACCATAAATAAGAGACTTAGTTCACTCATCATTAGGAATGTCAGCAGGGCATGAAATATGCGAATAATGCTTCCCCGCCCCTAAATATTTTTCCTGTCCCCGATCTCCACCACGGGAGAATATCATTCCTCATTCTTATCTTGATAGATCCCCATAGAGAATCAGAGTTTCACGGAGATCGAATCTAAAAAATATATATATACTTTTTGATCAAAACCATGACACTAGGACTTCATTATTATTTTTTTAACATATATTTTTCATATTTCTTTTTTTAAAAATAAAAGCACAACTTGTATCAATAACAAAAAATGCAAAAGCACTTACAGTTACAAAAATATAACCATTGATTTACTAATTGAATGAAAAACAGATTAATAATTGAAGTGTAGCGAAGTTGAAAAGTAATTACCATAAGCACAATGAACAAAAGAGAATGGTAGTTATGATGATATTGAGACTATAGAAGATGAGGAATGAAGGAGACAAAGAGAATTGAGAAAAGAAGAAGAAAATATATTATGTAATTAATGCATTTTTTTTAAGGTTTGGTACTTAGGTAGCAAAACAATACATTATTCAACGATACAAAAAAAATAAAACGATACACTAATGACTCTTCATTTTTTAATATACTAATTATTTTTTATTTAAAAACATGTAAGATTATATAATCATACATCATATAATATGTTATATATAAAATTTAAATAATATGGTCAGAGTCGGGGAATTCGCGGGGACGGAGGAAATTTCCCCGATCCCCGCCCGGAAGTGTAATCACGGGAATTTTTTCCTCCATCTCCGTCCCCACGGGGAGGGGGGAAATCTACGACTTCGAAGCTCCACACAGATAATCACCATAGGGATCCTCGTTAAAAAATGCAAATTGACATCCCTACTCATCATTCTAATAAAAGAGAAGAAAAAACTTAATTTATTTTAATTGCCTAACTGGTTCATCTAAATTCGTTATTGAGATCAAACTGAAGTTTGCAAATTCAATATTTACACAAACGGTACAGAAATGATTATAACAATAATAACCTCATAAACTTTATTTCTGAAAATAATCTTAACATAAAGTTTGTATCGATATCAAAATAATATTATAAAACATAAAAAAAGAGTGACTCTCATTAGTCTAGGACATCTGTGAGATGTTGGATCGAACTCTAGTATAGTCGAAGTCTGTTCGCAGGTAATGCGTGTTGTAGTCGAAGTTTGTTCTAACATGCATTAGTCAATATTGCTAGGGTTGTTAGCATGTTGAATTGGGCCTTGCTTGTAAGCCCAATTGTTTAAGTTAGCTTGTACCCTAAGTTAGCTTGTAATGGGTAATTGTTAAAAAG